ATAGAAGTTGTCTTTTATTTATAAGGCTGGCATGTCAAAAAGCAGGCGATTACAGGTATATCGGACGTGCGATCTTTCTGTATCTAAACACTGTGGTGAGAATGCGAGTGTAATTTTAACTTGTTGTGAACAGAAGTAAATTTGAAATGCATCTGTGGTCTCTACAGAAATATGTTGAGGTCGTTAAATTATAATTGCGGTTCTTTCTTAAACTGTGGTTAAGCTGTTCCCTGTTATTTCTGGTATTATAAAAGTGTTTTTTTTAGTTTTAAGGGAGAAATGCAATCCTTCATTTTTGTCCAGAGCAGCACTTGCATCGCACTGCCAGTTCACCCTGTTGTACAAGATTGTTCATTGACGTGCCCAGTGTAACTCTGATGTACAGATACACTAGTTGCCCTGGTGTGTGCAAGTAAAAATAGTGTCCATATTTAACACTTTTGATGATATGCACGCTGACACTTTGCCATTTTCCACAGTTGATTTTGTGTTGTGGCACGGTTATCAGAATGATTCCTAATGTAGCGTTAAAAGAAGTGCACCTCAGTGGGTTTTCTCCACGGTCTAGCGTGGGGACACCTCACAGAGACGCCTAGCTGTTTCGCCTGGACACGTGTTGCCTCTCTGAACTTCAAACCATCCCTTTTGGGGGGTGTTGAAAAACAGTGCATCTGACAGAAGCGTTAAGCGTTTTGCCCCTAACTTGGAAGGCGAAAAAAAAAAGACCTTTGTGACCAAAAACATTTTTATGCTTCATCATAAAAACAAAACAAAAATCCAGAAATAGGGATGTTGGTTCAGCTGGGATGTTTTACTGTGAAGTGCTCCGGGTTCATCCCCCGACCGTGACGACAAGTCCTGTTCGAGGACTGGAATTAAAAACCTGTCGCTGCTGCTCTTGTTTGCATCTGTACCAGCTTCTAGAGTCTGGAGTGCGGAGCCTGAGGCTGCAACCTCGGAATATATCGCTGTGGTTTTAAAGCCTTCGCTTGACAAGGAAACCCAACTTGCCGGCCTCCTTCTCTGCGCTGCTCCTGAAGGGCAGAGTTGTCAGCTGTGTGCCGCAGAGCGCCTGCTCCACTTCCACCTCCTGCCTGGGGTGAAAAGAAAGAGCACGCCTGTGTATGAGTAGTACAGGGACAAGTCAGAGGTTTATTCCGTGAAGGAAAGAGAAGAAAACGCGACGTTATGGCCGTGGAGCCTTCTTCAGGCGTGAGCAGCTGAAGAAGCTTCTTCCTCGCACCCGAGAAGGCTCCACGGCCGAAACGTTGCGTTTTCTTTCTTCTCTGCCCAGCACAGGAATAAACCTCTGACTTGCTCCTCAGCAGCCTGCGCCTGAACCATTAGCAGTACCCTGTGTACCCCGTTACCCTGTGGCTCCCCCCCCCGCAGGCCGAGCTCGGAGCTCCGGAAGGTGCGCTCGCGGGACGCGGCCCGTTCGCGGCGCAGCCAGGAGACGGAGGTGTTCTACCAGCTGGCGCACACCCTGCCCCTGCCCCGCCGCGTCACCTCGCACCTGGACAAGGCGGCCATCATGAGGATCACCCTCAGCTACATGCGCATGAGCCGGCTCTTCCAAGCAGGTAGGGGGCCGGCGCTCGGAGGTGGGCGCGCACAGGCGGATGAGGGCGCGCGGACGCGCCGGGCCCTGCCGAGGAGAGAATGAGCAGCCTTCTGTGTAGCACGGCGCCGGGCGCCAGGCAGAGCTCTATGCAGAAGCTGGACCATGTGAGCTAAGCAGGGCCTGACCCAGAGTCCTACACAGAAGGCTGATATTGGTATCACAGGAGTGAGTTTGGGGGGAAAAATAAACCATTCCTTTGTTCTTGAGCAGCTCTTTTTAATTTGCAAAGGAACAAGTAAAGGTTTATTCCTGTGCTGAAAAGAAAAGAAACGTTTCGGCTGTGGAGCCTTCTTCGGGTGTGACTCCGAAACGTTGTGTTTCTTTTCTTCTCTTTTCAGCTAAGGAATAAACCTATTACTTGTTCCTTTGCAGCCTATGCATGCTGACGCAGCTCCCTACTCGAGCTACTTCTTTTTAATCTGGTCTGTTGCTTATTCTTATTTAGGTGAGCTACAAGCGTGCACGTATAGACCACTCGCTTCCTAAATCCGTCACAACAGCAGTCGTTTAGGTCTGAAAGAGCAAAACAACGTAAGAGATCTGGCTCGGCAGTAAGCCACAGTTTTATGCACCTGTATGTGTTTAGAAAAGGGCCCTTTTCACAGTCTCCAGACCAGGATGCTGAATTCGTATTCGTTTCATTGAATGATTTTAGCCTCTGCTCTCGCGGTGTGGGGTTAATGGGCGCCTCTCTCCTGGACAATGCAGGCGGGTTGAAGACAGACCAGGGGGAGGAGGAGGAGGAGGAGGAGGAGATGGATGGATACCTAACGCGAGCACTGGGGGGGTTCGTCATGGTGCTGGCCCCCGAGGGAGACATGGTCTACCTGTCGGAGAGCGTCAGCAAGCACATCGGGATCACACAGGTACGCAGGCTGCCCGGCCGGCTCTGGGCTCCGGGATCGCTTGTTGTGAGTGAGCGGGAACGGTGCCCGAGGTCATGCTGCGGACCATGGGAAACATCCGTCTGTGCCGCCATGCAGCGCTTGCAGTCCGCGGGAAAAACCCTGCGTACCTAGAAAGCTCGAGCTGTACGTGTTGGCGATACTGTGTCTGTGAGCCTCACGTATTGCCGCTGGTGTTTCAGCTGGACTTGCTGGGGCAGAGCGTGTTTGACTTTGTCCATCCCTGCGACCAGGAGGAACTGCGGGATGCCCTAACGCCCAGAGCAGGTGAGAGGAGGGTGTCTGAACGCGGGAGACTCGTGTAGACTCCCATGCAGCAGGTCAATATCAGTATAGCACTTGGAGTGGTGGTCTGAAGACTGAACAGTACAGCTGTACTGAGATATAGTGTGTGGAAACCGGAGCTTTTACTTGCACATTTTCTCCCAATCCAGAATATATACAATTCCAAGGGCCTTACAGAGGAATGGTTATTATGCCTTAAAAAGCTATGGAACCCCCTGTATGTATGTTTACAAAGATACGTGTGTGGATTTCTCCCTCTTATGTGGGTCTGTGCCTCTTTGCCTGGCTGTGCATTGCACGCCTGTGCTTGTGTTCAGGTTTCTCCAAGAAGCAGAATCAAGATGTGCCGACAGAGAGGAGCTTCTTCATTAGGATGAAGAGCACACTGACAAGCAGGGGCCGGACCGTCAACATCAAATCGGCCTCTTATAAGGTAACGCGTGACCTTGAGACACAACTTAAATTGTCCTGGAAGCTTATCACCCTTATTAGGGGATGAGAGGCCCTCAGTGTCACAGTAGAAAGTCTCTACTGTTCGTGTGACGTTCATTGTAGTCAAATTCAGTGAAGCCCATTGGAGAGTTGATCAGAGAAAATTACCAGTGCAGGTTAAATTGCTCACAGCCTGCACAGTACTGTAATCATATCCTGTGAATTTTAAACCACATTACTTTCAGCTTCAGATATTTGTAAGCAATCAGACACTATTTCCTCCTGCATTAGGGGCCTGCTGCACACGACAGGTTAGAGGTTTTTTTTTTAATTTCTCCAACAGCGCTCACAGGCACTGCTGCTTCACTACCCTGGCCTGAGAACTGGGACAGTGTGCAAAGCTGAGCATGTATTTTATATAAAAGGCACAAGTCCAACATCAGCAGCCTTTAGTAGTTGCAAAGTTAAATTCCAGATACTAAGGTACTGGCAAATGGCCCTTCAGTGTTTACTGGTTTGTGGTGTGACATTGCTTCATGCAGCATAGTTTGGCTCTTGGAACATCTTCTAGAACACTGTGGGATTTGCTGTTTTTGCTATATTATCTTTAGTAGTTCCTGTTGTTCTTGCAATCTTCTCTGTTCATAATGACTTTCAGCATCAGATATTCGTAAGCACTCAGTCACTGTTTCCTCCTTTTTTGTCTTCTTTGCAATGCTTTGCAGTGTATTGGTGTGCTTTTTTTCTAGATATATTCCAGAGCAGCAATGTCTTTTTCTTAAGATGTTAACCTATAGCGGACACAATAGTGTGCACAGGACTCTCAGTGAGGTCTTACTAGTGTGTCTGACGTCTGGTGGCATGAAATCGGGGGGTGTTCAGGGTGCGAGAGTATGTTTTATGCTCACACGGCGCCTCTCCATCCTCTCTCCGCCCTGTGCTCCCAGGTGCTGCACTGCACCGGCCACATTCACACCTACAAGAGCTCCGGGGCGCAGGAGCCCCCCGCCGACTGCCCTGCGCTGCCCCCCCAGCCCCTCACCTTCCTCACACTGCTGTGTGAGCCCATCCCACACCCCTCCAACGTGGAGTTCCCTCTGGACAGCAGCACTTTCCTCAGCCGGCACAGCCTGGACCTCAAGTTCACCCACTGCGACGGCAGGTCGGTCACTCTTAGCGTCCTGTTAGCTGGGCCTTGCGAATCCAGGGACCTGTAACAGGGTGCAGATACGCCTGTGGAACAGAACTCCTGTAACACGGGAGCTGGGTGTTTATCTCATTTGTAGCACAGAGAACTTTAAAAAATAAAGTCACAGCTTCACACTGCTAGTAAGTATCATATTTGTTCTGGATCGGTACTTTGTGTCTGTAGTTGAAAAGCTGTGGATCTGAAGAGAACCAAGCCACAGGCGTAAATAGACATTTCTTAACAAAGGCAACAGTAAAACGTTTTAACCTCAGTCCGCTTTCCCTAGCGTTTGGATTACTTTGAGATCGCAAGTCAGTAACAATTGTGAATGTGTACTAAACACAGCATCTAACACTGTCTCGGGGATGTACTCGAAGCTAGCACACCACATGGTTGACAGATCATCCCTTCTTTGCCCTGCTGTTTGTACTGTTATCTGTACAGTATAAATTAAACTCCACCGTGAAAATATCCGGATTGTTTCATAAGAAAGCGTGATTGATTTAAATGTTATAAAATAATGATGAAAAAAGGCATAACTACTGTGGCTAAGAATGTTCCTTCCATCTACCCTTCTGAATTTGTCCCCATCACAAACTAAGAGCATGTAAAAAGTACAGAGTGTTTCCCCCTGTACCCCCAGGCTGCAGGAAGTCTGTTTCCCCTTTGCACTCATCACTTGGAGCACGAGTCTGGAGCTCGACACTCCAAAACAGCAGAAATCTGTGATGTTAAAGGAGCGCTCTTCGGTTCTTTGGCCTGCTGCAATAGGAGCAGACTTGGCCACCGAAGTGTGACGTGTGGTTTCAGCTCTGGCAGGCTGCCTAGCACATGGTCCCAGCCAGCTGAGTGATAAACACAGGGCAGTGAACATTCTGTACAGACGGGCCAGGTCTCCGGGGAGGGGAGGGGGAGGGGAGGAGCAATGAGCAATGCTTATTGTGAGTGCCGAGTCACAATGTGTTCTCGCCGTACAGAAAGAATGAGTTGTACTCCAATGAGATTAGCTGACACTGTACGGGCGGGCACCTCAGGCAACAGTCCTGGGCGTGACGTGTTTTTATAGAATCAACAAGCGTGTGCTTAACTTGAGAAGGCTGGCTGTTACATAATAAGTCCTGAAAAAAACTTCTCAATAGCAGAGAACATTTCTGTTATCATTTTTCAGTGTCTTTTTTTTTTTTTCAGTAGGTCCTGTTATAGTAAACATTGACTAACAACCCCATCCCCCAGAAGACCAAAGTGAAATGACTCTGTATTATAGATATAAGTGATTGTCTGCGTCAGACCCTGCACCATGACAGAGAATTATACTGCTTGGTACTGTTGTGCCTGGATTTGCCCTGCTTTGTGCTTCACGTAACCTTCCTGCTGGTCTTTTCACCTTTCCAATTAGCTACTAAACTAAAAAATTGAATAAACGTCTGCGTTGAGAGAAATGAAAATTCATTGTAATTAGATTACACGTTCTCATTTCTAAAGCCCTCCTAGGCCCAGTTGCTTACCACCGTCCTTTGGTGTTGTGATCTGATTTCAGACCGACTACTATATTTTACTTGACTTTGTTCCCTTAAAGAAATAAAAGTCAGTTTGGCTGAGATGTCTCTGCCAGATTTTTCTTATATTATAATAATGTATATTTATATTTTCTCCCCGTGGTGGGGATTGTTAATGTCTACCGTCCTGCAGAGCAGTGTGACAGGCCTGTAATGTGAGACTTTCAGGTTACACCCCTCTCTTGTAGTTCAAATTAAGAAACCCCTTGGCGTTTTTACCTGCTCCCTGTGGTTTGGCTCCTCGGTGTGCAGTACTATCACATTGTGCAGGATCCCTAACCATTTTAAAGGGCAAATAGCAAACCAGCATAATTTTGACACTGGTTGCATTAAAGACTGGAAGGGGGGCACATTTAGGTGCCCTGGCCTTGCGAGAATGTAGTCTCCCAAGTATTGGGACCGTATTTAGTAGTTGGGTTGATCTAGAACTCATTATCAGCTATTGTTTACCTTATTTTCCTTAGACAGGGTCAAATACCTCGGTATCCACTGAAAGCGAAACTTGCCACGTCATCTCTACAGCTGTGATCCCCGGACTCACTGACCCTTCCCTCTGGCTTATTCCCACTTTTCCTTGCCTGCAGGGTGACTGAGCTTGTGGGCTACAAGCCTGAGGATCTGATCGGTCGCTCTGCCTACGAGTATCACCACGCCCTGGACTCAGATCACCTGACCAAGAGCCTTCACACCTGTGAGTGTCGGAGGAGGCCGGTCGGGAGGGGGGCTGAATCTCTCTGAGGTTCAGTTGTGTTCTGGCTTGTTGCAGTGATCAGCATTCACACAGGCCTTATAGTGCTTTCAGGAGAAGGGGGCTCTATTAGCACGACGTGGAACGTTACCGGTACAGTACAGATAAAACTCCACCGTGTGGAGAGTCAGAGTAACAGCAAGTAACACTGCACAAGGAAGCTATGTGCGGGGAAGCTAGTGTTCAAAACCGATTCTTTCCAGGAAAAGAGATTGCGCCTTTTCTGTTCTTGTGGCTGTGACTTGTTTTTCTAGCTGTATTTTAGCGGAAGTCAGGAACAAAGTTACAAATGCATCCATTATACGATTATTATAGTGATCGATCTTTTCTTCGTTTCCAAAACGCCCGTCTATGTCTGTGGGGTGTTAGTTGTCAGACTGCTGTTGTTTATCAGTTTAGTCTCATGATCTGTGGGGGATATACTGTAGAGGTTGGCCATGCTTTCCTCTCCACCACTGAAGTAACAGCGTCCAAACACTGTCTGCCTGCAGTGCTATCAAAGGGCCAGGTGACCACCAGTCACTACCGCTTCCTTGCCAAGAACGGGGGCTTTGTGTGGGCCGAGACCCAGGCCACCGTCATCTACAACGGCAAGACCTCCCAGCCGGAGGGAGTGGTATGCCTCAACTTCATCCTCAGGTAC